GAATTTAGTAAATTTCCTGTAAGTAAATCTTCGTATGTTATTGGTTGAGACTGAACGTTTATAACTAATACATTTAAAATCTTAAGATTGTGTCCACAAACAATGAAAATGTGTGGCTTTCCTTTCCTCTCGTTAATGGAAGAAGGAACGAATGAAACATTTAATATTATTTATGAAATAAAAAAGGCATCCTTTTCACGATTTAGTTTACTAAAATTGTGATTGTATATTAACACTTATGTACAATTAAGTAAAGTCCGTTTTATCATTAAGGTACTTGTAAAACAATTTTCTCGGGATTACTTCGAAAAAAAAAAAAAAAAACAACCATCAAATACAATAATGTGAAGAGGAGGGATTGCCCCAGTAGCCCCTTCATTCTAGTACTTCGCAGCAGATGAAGGAAAAAATGTTTCGCAACTGAACGCGCGTGAGAGCGTAATTATCTGGATAATGATCGCTCGTAAGTTTCCTCAGAGCGTGTGAACCAAGCAAAGAGGCAGTCGAGGCGACGGCGTCACGCTTCCTAGGACAAGTGGCCGGGCGCCGGCGTGCGCGCGGCGCGGGGAGTGGACACGGCCAGAACACAGGGAGGGCGGGGCGGCGGGCGGCGGGCGGGCGGGGCGGCGGGCGGCGGCGCGGGGCGGCGGGGCGGCGACGCGAGGCAGGGCAGTAGTACAGGACCATTCAAGAACGGTAGGGTATTGAACGTTGGGGCAAGACATTAGGCGGAAGACTATGGCAAAATTAGAAGCAGAGAGTGGGGAAGATGGTGGGAGGGGGAATGGAGAGGGGCAGAGGGGATGAGAGAGGTGAGAGGCACGGTCAGAGAGAGGGAGGGACTAAGACTGAGAAAGAGGAAGGAGCTAGAGAAAAGGTGACTTGAGTATCAACAATGTAATTACCCCGTGGTTTGTTACTGCGCGACTAGGAATAAGGAAAATGTATACTCAAAAACGTGCGCCAGTAAAAAAACATCGTGTGACATGTCAGATTTTGTAATAAAGTTTGAGGAGGAATTTGAATCTACGAACAATGGGAAGAACGGAGATATGACGATAATTTGGAGACTGAATATGAAACAAAGAAGAATATCAAAAGGAGATAGAAGGTGGGGAAGATATGAGAGCACTTTTACGTCAGGTGATAAAATAAAACTGCCATTACGTGTGATTGTAAGGATAAGAAAGATAAAACTACCCATATAAATATATCGGGAAAAGTAATAAAATAAATATAATATTAAGATGTTTAGGGCAAGAAAATGTGATGTAAAATAAAACGGTATAATAAATTAAGGGATAACGAATGAAGATGTAATAGAGTGCGATGTGTAATTACAGATCGGAACGGGGTTAACGAAAATAACCCTGTACTAAAGACAACAATGGTGATTAGAAAGAAGTGAAACTAATGTAGACATTTTCCCAGGGTTTGAGTATCTATTCAGGAGACTTGTAGGAGCGGGTGTTAAAGAATGTGGAGGCTGAAGGGTCGCGGGCGTCGACTTGACGACGCTGACGTCAGTTGAAACGGCGGTGGCGGTGAAGCCAACCTACACCGTTCTGGTCATGCACGCAAATCGCCCAATCGCGTTCACGAAAGCTGCTGCTGATAGCGGCGATATGAAGGCGCTCTACCGACCGCAGTGTTCTAGGAAACATCGCCTCGAGGAAGAGTTCCTTTCGGGCATTTCCTCAAAACGTTCTCAGAAATCGATTCAAGAGGAAGTGTTTAGCACGTTTGTTCAGTTCGCTAAGTTTTTTTCTTAACCGGCGAGGTCTCTAGTGTTACAAATATCACACTGAAGAGGACGAAGACGACATTTCAACTTCAGACGTTACAGAGGATTTCAACATATACTGAACTCTACTTAGGATATTTTTATGGGACCTTTATTTCGAGATTCAAAGTTATATTTATTCTTAGAAACACTTACTATGAACATATCATGAAGCCTATTTAAATAAGAATATAAAAATGTATGGCCTATCCCGTGACACAGGGAAATTATAAAAGAAGTTTGAGAAAATATGCAACTACGCAGAACTGAAAGTTATTGATTCGATAACCGAACAAGGCACAGTTGTGGATCCAGGAGGGCATGAGGGCTAAGCTTCCCGAAGTCAACGATTTTTTGAATTTTTCTCAATTTATGCGAAACAATTACCGTGTACCAATATTTATGAAGATCCGAACTGAAATTATTGTCCCTGAAATACATTCTGGAGCCATCTCTGGCAAGGTATGGATTTTTTCATCGTATGTTTGTGTCATGGTTCGCTCCTCCCGTATCATATCTAATCCGTCATTCTAACAATTTCTCTTGCCATTAACAGTTATGATATCCTAGGTGAGGACCAACTTTTATGCAACGGAAGGGAAGACCAATATGCCCTTTTGTGCCGAAAGAGGAAGGCATGACGATGCAAGCTTCGCGCCCTTGCGCTTGCGCCTGGGAACAGACTATAGTTCTCCTCTCCCAAAAAATGCTTAACTGGTTATAAATACTGTATTATACAAATTGTCAACACATTTGGGTTGTCGAGCTCCTCAAAACAGACGTCCTTCTTTGCAAATGTGAACGTCATCTCGGTTAATTTGGAAAGAATCAAACATCGTATGCATGACAGCATTCGCATCAGGAAATGCCTCATTTAGACATCACCGGCTCAAAAATTATGCCGCTCAAAGTCTACTGTGTTCTCAGAGCAAATTGTCATCCAATTAGATTCATTCATCATAACAAGAATTCTCACCGAACCCACAGAGCCCATTTTTATCCAATTTGATTCACTCGTCAAAACAAGAATTCTCACCGGAGCCCTAATGACACTCGGCATCCGGGCGTGACCGCGGCTGTCGAAAGATGATCGGGGCCCGGAAGAAGGTGGCATGAGATTATATAAAAATATTGCAATCATTAATGTGGAATTATTATTACTTCATGCAATCGATTACACGGACATATTAAGATAAGACATACCATTCGGCACTTGACATTTTACAACAGCTGAGTCCGCTTTTCCGAAATCACAGTGTCAGAATGGCATAATAAGGACTGTGATCCACGGCTGACAATGTTAAAAATATATGAACTTGCAGTAAAGAAAAAGTGATGTATCTATTTGTTATTTTCAGTCGATTGCCCACGTTTGCGGGCTAGATAACAGTATTCCCCCATGCCTCGGCCTAGTTTAATTCCCACGTTCCAGACGAATTAGAAAAAGAAACTTGACGGGAACATGACGTATTCGCTTCATCACAACTTGCACACTCCGCCAGGCCGATCTTTTCTTCGTCCCACAACTACAAAAGCTGACGATTTTAAAGAAAAGCTATAACTACTTTTGCGCCGAATGGGAATAGAACCCGGGATCGAACCACGGGAAGGTAATAATCCTGTTCAAGAGCCATAATAGCGCACGGAAAAGACGAGATACGATAAAAAAATGTGAATTAAATTCTGAAATGGTAAGCAACAAGATGGGCTGCGTTGGGCTCTGCAGAGAAGCACGAGCGCCGGAGCGTGGCCCTGACCTCGCCCGCCCACCGGCCCCGCGAGAAGGCGGTCGCGGTGAGCGCGCAGCGGCCGCGTGGAGGCGCGTTGAGTAACACGCGCATCGCCCGCGGCCGGCGCGACGAGACAAGACGAGGCCAGGCGAAGCCGCTCCCAAGCGGCGGGGCGAGGTGGGCGGGGGCAGA